GCATAGCTGCCCCACCCCATAACAATTGATCTTGCCAGGAGCGAAAGTCCTTCGCGCATCAACTATCAAATGGAATGGAAACGTATATCGTCACGTTCCTGCTTGACTCGATACGCACATTATCTACCGCTATACTCACACAGGCGAGACTCGATTATTATTCCATCATAATTCGGCATTAACCACATGTTAACCACTACACTCACAGGTATATACACAACGCAAACCTGATCATACTCTACGTGACAAATCTCCATAGTTTCAAGATACATCATCAACAAGTAACAGAGAACAACAATAAACATATGAGCAAACTTCTCAACATAGTAGTTTAAAAGTCAAAACGATCCTCCACACAAACCATGCCCTTTAGCATTGGTCTTTGGAGAGATTCAGAGATATACCATCCATAGACATGTCGAAGGTATCGTTGGACTCGTCATAAGTAACTGACATAGCCTGTTGAAGCTCGTCAGGTGTCATACCGAGCGTATCAGCCATTTCCACCATCTGAGGATCATTGTAATCAGGCTCGAAGTCGGTACAGTCAACCATAGTATAGTCAACACCCTTTATATTGACCAAGGGCCTTACAGCAAGGTCGAAAGTCCCATTATCAATAGTAGCGGTACCCTTAAAGAGCATATACTTTCCGCAATACTTCCCACTTGGAGTAGCCGAACAACTCCCACCACTACTGGCAGTAGTAGTCGCAGCTCCAGAGGAACCCGTAGTAACATCACCCGACGACCCCTTAGTCCCATCGTCCGAAGAAGATGTGCTACGGAGGGAGGAACCTTTAGTTGTAGTCTCAATAGAAGATGCAGTAGTGGCCTTCGCAGCAACCGTAGTAACTACATTAGCAGTCGTAGGAGCAACAGTAGTCGTTGAATCATCGCTGCACCCAGTCAAAGAGAGAGCGACAATGACAGAACAACAACAGCGAAGAACTTCATATCGAGGGAAAAACAACTCGAATCCGAATAAAATAGAATGATCCAACAAGAAAATCATCTCAAATGACACTCTACCCATCCTATTGATGACCACATAGTCTGAACACCGATTTCCAACTTGCAATACGTATACATCCGAATGCACAAGTACTATATTACGACTAGCCGAAAAAGCTTAGCTATTGGGCACAAAAGGTATCACTACCGATCACGACAGATTTCCCCTCGTTGGCTAAGTGTTTTCTTGGGGTCATTCACTCCGTTTGCATAGCACGCGTAGTTTTTTTGTTTACCCATGTAATATAGAAGACATATGACTGCTGCGATTAGATACGATGTGAAGGACATTCATCGTTCAGGAGGGACCGAGATGACCCTTTAAAGAGCCGCGTGACGCTGGCAGCCACTCCGAATAATGCCAACGTTAGCTGGCACATCTTTTCCGAATACATACGGGGTATTCAATACAGTAGAAATGTGATGATTGAATATATTTGAGTCAGACGATTTGAGATCGTCATACGATGGTAATGTATCCTTCTTAATTAACATCAAGATTCTCCTAATCTACTGTACTGTTCAGTTAACGCGTGCGATTACTAGTAGTTCAGTCGAGGAGATTCATAATTTTTCATCATTTATTTGGCGAAGAGCTCCGACAATAACGCATAGTCGACATCAGGAAATCACCCAGAATCCTATAATGTTCTCGGGGGGAACTCATTTAGGAACACATCCTTCCATTAGCTTCCCATGTAAATATCATCGCATTAGAAAAATTCTTCCGTTGTTATCAAATTCTGGAGAACGTTATATCTCTAAATTAAATAGGTCTCTGGTCGACATCACACACCGACGACGCCGTACCTAGGTTGAGCTCGCTAGTAAACTCCGCCCGAGAGGAAGCACCTTCAGGAACCCATGAAATGCTTCGGAAAGATGAGTGTGACGTAGAACCGATTTCGAGTGAAGACCTGATAATCCTCATTCTTCAGGAGAAGACAGGCTGCTTAAACAGTTCAAGTTGAACTTACCTCCTGTAGCGTGCCGGGTAATCGTAGACCCATCCTTTCCGTTCCATAATGACGGGTGACCTACCTATGTGCTATTTAGCTTCAACAATGCTCAGATGCTGACAGTTTCGGATGTCGGACTATGTGCACGCGTGCAAGGCTGATCAAAGTGAAACGCGCGGACTGTGTGGGCAGGTAACGGTGTCTAACGTTGTAAGTGTACTACAAGGAACTGCGGTTGTTCTCATATCCCTAGCGTATTCACCCAAGTAGCTCTCTAAGATGCTCTCAATCGTGAGGCTGCTTAATTTCAATATCGCTGTGAAACTGGATCTGTAATAGTTTTCGACACCTAGTCAGGATTAGCAAACCTCAATATCCAGTTGGACAATCGGGAGGCTGTCGCCATCGAAGGCGTGCATAGCAGAGACAGCATTGGCGCGTGAGTCGGCCTTAGTAAGTCCGCATAGTAGAGTAGGCGGTGGGCCTCGTCCACGCGCTGAGGCTGTTGCACAAAACACTGTCTCCTTCGGGGGGGGGCTCTCGAAAGCATTTGCTAACTTTGTATCGTTTGGCTGGTCAACTACGGGACTGTTTTCAGTTTGGTCAAACATTCCTGTTTAGCGGGGTGGCGGGAAAATGCCGATTTACTGGTTTGGACTGACCGTACGGCTTCTGGGGAGGAGAGGCGTTAATGTTTGTGAATCGCCCAAGTGACTATCAAGGGTGGAGTTTCTCATCGGATGAAGGCTCGAAGGTGAAGAATTGCACTCGCTCTTCCAAAATAGGTTTCTTCTAATATTCACGTATGTATTCAGCAATGCTCTTCTGCTGTGCGATGATCGCACTATCGCTCTCTGGTTGCACTGACCGTGCGGTCATCGAGCAGGGCTCTTTGAAAGATCAATCGTTTCTCGCGCCAACTCACAAACCCATTGACGCCTCCTTAAGTAGCCTCGGTAGCAACTCTACTTCAACTGGTGATGTTATGTGTGGTCGAGCGCCGAGCGGAGTATACTACTTCGAATATGAAGGCCTCGTTGGTAGTGTGACTGTGAAGTCCAAGTCATTCTCCATCAGTATACCCTCTGGTGATGTTATCAGTAATGTTGCCTACTACATGCATCACTGCACTGTGTTTGTACCTGACTATAGTAATTATCAAGTAGTTGCTGCAGCGAACAGGCACGGGACGACAACCGCTGAGTTGAACAAGGATCTCTCGATCACTTACTCAGTGCACAACGACAGTTTCTTTGTGACCTATCCACCTACTACTTCTCTGAATCTCACTAAGGGTCAGTGATGATTGAGCGTGCCATCTTTGGCGAGAAGTAGTCCCGTTACTCACCATCACAAGTATCAGTTTGTATATAATGCTTCTTAGTCTATCTGACTGCTACTATTATTCGTCTTCCCTCGGCAATGTAGGCAAGAAGAGCCTTCCAATAAAGGGAGGCACTTCCGCAACAGCCTATTCATCTGCAAACTAAACTCCATTTTGATTGCATAGTCGGATCGATCGTAATCAGATTAGAAACAAGTGTGGTGTTGACCCTACGTGGGAGGAGGTGTAACTCGCACAATGTATAGTCCTAGTGATTTGTATATCTTGGGAGAGCTTATAATGGTGGTGACACAAAGTGGATGGAGACATGTGTCACACTAGATATCAGCTACTAATTGAAGTGAATAGCTGCAGTAGAAGTTTCTGGTGGAACCAGATTCAGTGTGATGTAGTGATAT